ATACCTATTGAAACAGTTGACGATAATGATGATGATGATGATGATAATGATGAAGATTACGAATTAAAGGAGATTAACAAACACAATAAGGTGTATTCTATTCTAAAGCTAATCAACTATAGGATAGAAAAGATGTTTTTAATATTTTGCTACTTTGTTCAGGTTTATTGGGGACACATCACAAATACATTTTTTTTAAATACCATATTCATCAGGGAGACTCTTCCAAATTAACCCAAAAGGTCAGTTGACAATCAGGGGCCCTCCTAAATAAGATGTTTTAAGTCTCATTATGAGGCTTAGATGGAGGAGATATTTTTCAGTTGTACAATCACAGGATTTGAACCCAGGTCCCTGGCATTGAAAGGAAAGAAATTAATATCATTTCTTACCTGTTCTCTTGAAGTCTGCACATAGTTTTAACCTTTTTCTGATGCTACTTTCAGAATGTGTTGGAAAGGCTTTCTTAATGTCCTCCATCTTAATTCGCTTGATCTTGTCTTTGCTCTTGTAAAATAATCGATGTATAAAAACCTAAAAACAAAAAGAAAAGGGAACAGTTTAAACAGAGGAAACTACTCATGCTGTCTCTTATACACATCTAGATGTGTATAAGAGACAGATCAGGAACTCTCCCTCATTAAACTAATCAATCAGCGTCGCCAAAGGAGTCAGGAATAACGTGTAGCGATTGTATGGAAACCAGACTTTACCTGAGCACCCAATCAGTAAATGTAATCTAATAATTTTTTTAAATATTCATGGGTCCTCTTAAATAAATGAAATAATGTGATGCATTTTGATAAGTGTCTTTATGAGGCTTAGGGAGTGGTGTTGTTTTTAGTCATATGAAAAAGTCCTGCTGTTACAGGATTTGAACCCAGGACCCTGGGATTTGAAGGTAAGCATCTTAACCACTAAGATTTTCAACTCAACTCCAATGCTGGAAATTAAGGTGATAAGCACTAGTTGTATATTACCTCATCATCAATCTTTGCATTATCGTCTTCTGGAGCAAAGAATGATTTCCCACCATAACCAGCATCCTAAAAAACATATGATTGGATATGAGTTACTAACTGGTCAACAAGAGATCTACAGTTCAAAAAACTATTGATAGACAAACAAAACTAACATTCATTTTAAGTGGAATGACTCAAGTCTACAGTATTGAAGAATAAGAGAATGTTTAATAAGTCAAACAAATATATGAATGTAGACGTTTGATATGTCCAAAAGAATGGCAACAATTGTGTTGTTGAATGTGTTGTTGTCATGTTGAAGTTGTGCTGCTTGTGGATTTGTGTTTTTTCTTAAGCTCTGTCAGGAGAAACATGCCCTTATTTAGTCATGACATGCCTATATATGGTCATGATGTGATGTCATCATGACCATATTTAGGCATTTCACATGTTTTTGTGAAATTATATTTGATTGTCTGAACAGGGCTTTTTATTACTAACCTTTAACCTCTGCTCTGCAGCCAACATAGAATAATAAGCACTGCACTGCTCTGGGGTCACCACTGATCCTGTCTCTTATACACATCTTTGTTGAACAGGCCTGGCCCTGTGGACACTATGGACACCTTGGCTTGCTTGCTTGTCTGCCTGTCTACGTCTGGCTGCAAATATGTCTTGGGTGTCATCGTAGTATACACGTCTGTAGTTCAAGTACTTCTCCTTCTGAGCTTAAATCAATGATGAGTAGTAAGATAGTAAGCATGTACAATAACATATCCTCTACAAACAGTAAATCATAATCAAGACATTAATATAATAACAATACTAATATTCAATAATAATTATATGTTATAACATTTATTTTTTTCATAACAATTACATAATGATAATCATAACACTAATAATCACCATCACCACCAATTACCCTAAATGAAATTCTGATAAATACGTATTCTGCAGGAGCAGTATGGTCCATCTGCAGGGACAGGGTATGTCATGGGTTCGGTGTACCACGTCAGCATTCTTTAGTTCACATGCTGACACATGTACAATGGGTTCAATGTGTCCTTTCTGATCAACCCCACATTTTCCACCCCAAAATGGGCCTAACCAGTGCGATATAAATTCCTTCAGGTTGTAATACACAAAAATAATAACCTAGCATACCTTCTGTTTAGTTGGTTTATTTAGAACCTTGACATAGGAAAATCTTTCTCCGCATCCTGTGGGATCAGCTGTTCCCATCACCTGCAGGAGACACTTGCCCTTCATGGCAGATATGAACGCACGTGTTGTGTTCCATGGTGCTGTTTTCACCTGGAAACATTTGGGAAAAACACAACCAAAATCATTGTTATTGAGGGACAGTCTTGAAATCAAAATACACATACGTTAAGCTTGGTTTCCATAGAATTGCTACACATTCGCTACAGCGTTTTCACTGCAAGCATTGTACTGCGTAGCTGGCCCCGACGCAATCAGGAACTCTCCCTCATTAAACTAATCAATCAGCGTCGCCAAAGGAGTCGGGAATAATGTGTAGCGATTGTATGGAAACCAGACTTTACCTGAGCACCCAATCAGTAAATGTAATCTAATAATTTTTTTAAATATTCATAAATAAATGAAATAATGTGATGCATTTTGATAAGTGTCTTTATGAGGCTTAGGGAGTGGTGTTGTTTTTAGTCAAATGAAAAAGTCCTGCTGTTACAGGATTTGAACCCAGGACCCTGGCATTTGAAGGTAAGCATCTTAACCACTAAGATTTTCAACTCAACTCCAATGATGGACATTAAGGTGATAAGCACTAGTTGTATATTACCTCATCATCAATCTTTGCATTATCGTCTTCATTATCGTCTTCTGGAGCAAAGAATTATTTCTCACCGTATCCAGCATCCTAAAAAACATATGATTGGATATGAGTTATACTAACTGGTGAACAAGAGATCTACAGTTTGAAAAACTATTGATAGACAAACAAAACTAACATTAATTTTAAATGGAATGCATTCTATACAAATGACTCAAGTCTACAATATTGAAGATAATGTCTAATAAGTCAAACAAATATATGAATTTAGATGTTGGGATGTGTCCAATAGAATGGCAACAATTGTGTTGTTGAATGTGTTGTTGTCATGTTGAAGTTGTGCTGCTTGTGGAGTTGTGTTTTTTCTTAACCTGTCCAGAAAAATATGTTCTTATTTAGTCATGACGTGCCTACATATGGTCATGATGTGACGTCATCATGACCTTATTTAGGCGTTTCACATGTTTTTGTGAAATTATAATATTATTATTATTATTATTATTATTATTTGATTGCCTGTATAGGGCTTTTTATTACTAACCTTTAACCTCTGCTCTGCAGCCAACATAGAATAATAAGCACTGCACTGCTCTGGGGTCACCACTGATCCCATCTCTTCCTCAGTTGGAAGTCAAAACCCACCAATTGGAATCCATTCCTAGTAATGATATGCAAAATTTATAGATAAAATTTTCTGTGTTTAATTATGTTTAGACTGAGTACACACGAGAGAGACACAATTACAGAAGGATATTCACGATAAAAATTATTCCCACTCATGTTGGAAGTGATCCTGGATACCTATTGAAACAGTTGATGATAATGATGATGATAATGATGAAGATTACAAATTAAAGGAGATTAATGAGCACAATAAGGTGTATTCTAATCTAAAACTAATCAAATATAGGATAGAAAAGATGTTTTTTAATATTTTGCTACTTTGTTAGGTTTATTGGGGACACATCACAAATACATTTTTTTTAAATACCATATTCATCAGGGTGACTCTTCCAAATTAACCCAAAAGGTCAGTTGACAATCAGGGGCCCTCCTAAATAAGATGTTTTAAGTCTCATTATGAGGCTTAGATGGAGGAGATATTTTTCAGTTGTAAGAAAAAAAATCCTGTACAGTCACAGGATTTGAACCCAGGACCCTGGCATTGGAAGGAAAGAAATTAATATCATTTCTTACCTGTTCTCTTGAAGTCTGCACATAGTTTTAACCTTTTTCTGATGCTACTTTCAGAATGTGTTGGAAAGGCTTTCTTAATGTCCTCCATCTTAATTCGCTTGATCTTGTCTTTGCTCTTGTAAAATAATCGATGTATAAAAACCTAAAAACAAAAAGAAAAGGGAACAGTTTAAACAGAGGAAACTACTCATGGTGCTGCTGTCACTGAACACTGAATACAGAGTTAAAAGATAAGCTTCTGTACTCTTTCACCTTTAAATATCTTTGTTGTTTGTCCTTTTAATGTTACTTTATCTACCAAGCATAAACAATTTCTGTTTATTTTATATATAGACACATAATAGTTAAGGAATCTTAAATCAATTATGTAAATCTAAACAGCAGTAACACGGAAACAAGATACTCCAACCTAAATTGCTTCTGGCTAAATTCTGATAACAAAAATAGAAATGGTATAATTAAGATCTGTCCAGACTATCAAATTTTATTTGACAAAAACATGACATCATCACATCATGAACATATATAGGCACATCATGACCATATATGGGCACATCCTGACTATATATAGGCACATCATGACTATATATGGGCACATCATGACTATGTATGGCATACAACAGTTTATTTGTCAAAGAAAATTTGAAAGTGTGGACAGATCTTAAGAGTGAAAAAAGAATGAGGATGCTATTTGATAGTGTGGACAGAACTTACCTGTAGAAAGTCTCTTGATTATTAGCTTTCATCATGACTATATATAGGCACATCATGACTATATATGGGCACATCATGACTAATTATAATAAAAAAATTATAATAACCTTCATAATTATATACTATTCTACATTTTCACTAGTGTAAAAACAGTATGCTAGAAGCGAGAGGGTAGACAAGTTTGTACACTTTTACACTTTTACATATGTTAAATAATGGTAAAATAAAAAAATGTAACCATGGATATAATATTCATTTTTAATCAACCAAATACATTGCTTTAGTTGACTTTACAAAAAAATAGAGAATGGTTTTGCAAAATCAACATTTTTTTTGTACGCTTTTAGAGGGGATGGAGTGGGGTAAGAAAAAGAGTACAGTACTGTTTGTACACTTGTTGAAAAATCTTTATCTCATTAACCGTTTCCAAGTTTTATGTCAAACCCCATTCATTATTTATTTAGTCATACAGACCAAGAACTGCAAATGACTTTATAAAAGTGGTCCATATATAATGTAAGTGTCCCTATGAGGCTAAAGCAAGGGATTTTTTTATTGTGATGAATTGGATTGGATTGGATTGGATTTATTCAGTGTAAACACCAAGGATAGCTCACGAAAGTCTAGAAGAAGACTTATGATGATGTGGTGATTGGACAGTACACCGGGAGACAATCCCCTACTCTTTTCTGAAGAGTGTACTACGTTCTTTAACGTGCACATAGGCCATAAATGCACACGGGACAAACGGCTTAAACGTCTCATCCGAAAGATGGTGCGATATTGTAAACTTGTATTTCAGCCTTCTAGCTGAAACACAAAGAGAGGCAGCGATGGGAATTGAACTGGGGACCTAGAGATCTCCACGGTTCAGCGCAAACACAGTGGCTACTACCAGATTAGCCAACTGAGCTAAGCTGCTCTCTCAAATACAGACACTCCAAATGATTCGAACCTACGACCCAAGAATTGAAAAGCAGGCACCCTGTTACAGTGTCACTCTATTTGAGTAAGCATTCAAACATTTACTTTGTGAACATGTTAAACAAACTGAAAACTCACCCTTTTATAATAGTTTAAAAGCCTAGTTGCCATGCCAACTTGTAAAAGCTGCGGAGGATACTCCTCGCAATACTCTGTGAGAATGATGTCACCGTCCATACCTGTCAGATCTTCCGGTTTGTGCATGTAAAACATACTGCCCCCTCCTGATGCAACTCGCTCTTGTTCCCTTTGCTAGATACATATAATATACAGAGGTTTTTTCAAATTTCATAAATTTATTTAAAAGAAAATATATATCACATGGTATCTTAATCATTGGCACCGCTGTGTCAACGGTTATTGAAGAACACACAACCCCCTACAGATGTAATAATTGCAAGAAAAATTATAACCTCCATTAGAATATAAAAAAAAAAAAAATCTGACATTAAAATATATTATAAGTAATAGCAATAGTTAAAGAAAACATGATACAAATAAACTTACCTTGGCCTTAAGTTTGATTCTCCTTGCCAATGGCCAGACTTCATGGTGTCCAGGGTTTGCTAGAGGACCATGCGAGAACTTCTTCAAAATAGGCCGATGGAAATGACGGAGCTTAAATGGTCCAAGATGTGTTGGAAAGAAAGGCTGTCTCAACTCAACAGCTGGAGTTGAATGCTTCATTTAAAAAAAAAAAAAAAATAATCATTTAGTTTTCACACAAGAAATATTTATAAAAGGGGAAAAAACAATAAATATTGATGTTTACATAAAAAAGTAATTACTGATCACATGATGCAATGCTCTAAACCAAATCCCTTTATGAGGATAGGTGAGTGGAGTTGTTTTACTTGTGATAGCCAACTGGTGTTTTAGGATTTGGTGCCAGGAGCCTAAATTATAAAGCAAACAACTTAACCATCTTAATGTAAAAATAAAAAAATGCTTATAAATCAGGTCAATGCAATGCCTTCAGCTGATTGTCAGTAGCAGTATAAACAGATTGACATAAAAAACAACCCATTACGTGAGCGTCGTGGCACTGCATTCTCCATAGAATCGTGTCGGCCGACGACCGTCGTGCGCATAAGTGCCCAGCTTAGGAAATTTTTAATAGAGAGCATGATGGAAGGTTCTTTTACCTGTAGGTTTCCTGCCATGCTGACTCTCAGCTTATTCTCACCAATGTTCTTGGGGTAATAGTACTCATCATTTGAAATATTGTACGGATCTGTTCCCTCATCATCTTCAATTGGGTCATCCTAAAGGAGCAACGAAAATCACCATAATCGGTGCAGAAATATATCAGTAGGGGTCATGCAACGTGTGAAACACCAATGGGGAGGGGGAAATTTCTATAAAGTTGATTGTTAAATAAGATATGCATACACAAATTACAACTTTCATAGATGCATCATGCAGCACTTTCAATACAACTGTCTTTTCTCTCTCTCTCTCTATTCTTTGTTTAGTGGGGAGGGGTTGGGAGTGTCTGGCTCCCCCCGCCCCAACCAGGACCTTTTCCCGTTTATAACATATTATATACATTCAAATGTCTCTGAAAAAAAAGTTTTTGGCATACTTCGTCATCGTCATCTCTGGTGACTCCAGCTTTCTTGAGCAGCACTTGGGATCGTCTTGGTTCCTTCTTCTCCTTAGTTGGGGAAAGGGTTTGATTAGGGTTCTTATCCTTTGGGATACCCAGCAAGA